GCAGAGCCACAGGCCTCTCCGTCGTCTGCTGCAGAGCCACAGGCCTCCACGACAGCAGCAGCAACTCCCCAGGCCTCCACGACAGCAGCAGCAACTCCCCAGGCCTCCACGACAGCAGCAGCATCTCCCCAGGCCTCTCCGACAGCAGCAGCATCTCCCCAGGCCTCTCCGACAGCAGCAGCATCTCCCCTGGCCTCTCCGTCGACAGCAGCAGCAACTCCCCTGGCCTCTCCGTTGACAGCAGCAGCAACTCCCCTGGCCTCTCCGTCGACAGCAGCAGCAACTCCCCTGGCCTCTCCGTCGACAGCAGCAGCATCCTCCAAGGTTCCCTCGTCTCCTGCTGCAGCTTCCAAGGTTCCCTCGTCTCCTGCTGCAGCTTCCAAGGTTCCCTCGTCTCCTGCTGCAGCTTCCAAGGTTCCCTCGTCTCTTGCTGCAGCTTCCAAGGTTCCCTCGTCTCTTGCTGCAGCTTCCAAGGTTCCCTCGTCTCCTGCTGCATCCTCCAAGGTTCCCTCGTCTCCTGCTGCATCCTCCAAGGTTCCCTCGACTCCTGCTACAGCTCTCCAGGCTCCCACGCCAACTGCTGCAGCCCTCCAGGCTCCCACGCCGTCTGCTGCAGCCCTCCAGGCTCCCACGCCGTCTGCTGCAGCTCTCCAGGCTTCCACGCCGCCCGCTGCAGCTCTCCAGGCTTCCACGCCGCTCGCTGCAGCTCTCCAGGCTTCCACGCCGCCCGCTGCAGCTCTCCAGGCTTCCACGCCGCCCGCTGCAGCTCTCCAGGTCTCCTCGTCGCATGCTGCAGCTCCCCAGGTCTCCTCGTCGCATGCTGCAGCTCCCCAGGTCTCCTCGTCGCATGCTGCAGCTCCCCAGGTCTCCTTAACGCAAGCCGTGTTCCCTTTGGCCCTGTGTTCCCCTGACCTGGCCCAGTTTGATGGACAGCCTCCCGGCCGCCCGCCGGAACAGTGACTCTTAGGGACGATCCCTTGACCGTCCAAATCCCTTGTGATCCCTCGTGTATTTTCTCTGGTCCCTCGTGTCCTTTTTCTGGTTCCTCGTGTCCCTTCTCTGGCTCCTCGTGTCCCTTCTCTGGCTCCTTGTGTCCTCGTTCTCTGGCTCCTTGTGTCCTCGTTCTCTGGCTCCTCGTGTCCTCGTTCTCTGGCTCCTCGTGTCCTCGTTCTCTGGCTCCTCGTGTCCCTTCCTCTGGTTCCTCGTGTCCTCTTTCTCTGGTTCCTCGTGTCCTCTTTCTCTGGTTCCTCGTGTCCTATCCTCTGGTTCCTTGTGTCCCTTCCTCTGGTTCCTCGTGTCCCTTCCTCTGGTTCCTCGTGTCCCTTCTCTGGTTCCTCATGTCCTTTTTCTCCGGTTCCTCGTGTCCTTTTTCTCTGGCTCCTCGTGTCCTTTTTCTCTGGCTCCTCGTGTCCCTTTCTCTGTGGTTCCTCGTGTCCCTTTCTCTGTGGTTCCACGTGTCCCTTTCTCTGTGGTTCCTCGTGTCCCTTTCGCTGTGGTTCCTCGTGTCCCTTTCTCTGTGGTTCCTCGTGTCCTTTCTCTGTGGTCCCTCGTGTCCTTTCTCTGTGGTCC